ATCTAGTTCTCATTAGAACCAGACCAAATTAGAACATACCAACCCCTAATTTACCCGAAGCTTGGTACCATAAAGCATAGCAAGTCTAATAACTGCTCTGCAATTTAATCCCAACCTACTTTGATTCTAAGCATTACATTCTTACTACTTCCTCCCCCCAAATTAATAATCAAGCCTAAATATCAAAAACAATCACATTGGGGATTACACAATCCACTAACCAAACTCCATTATTACTGAAGTGGCAATGTGTATATTTTGTCTTATTTCTACTCAACATGAAACCATTAGATTCATCAACTAAAACTATACAAAAGGACACGGCCGCCAAAGCCCAATGCTATGGCATTAACCACTCATCTGAAATATAGAAACCACTGTTCACAGTCATGGACCCCAAAGACAGCCCATCATGACCCCAACAATGAAAGGCTAAATTAGCTGAATATTCACATAGAACACAGTCCAATCAATCAGGCCCAACGGCTATTCGGCAACACTATTATCAACAGTAGTTGTTACAGGTATCTTATTAGGACAAAACAGAAGTATACAGGCCTAAGAACGAACCTAAAGAGTAACTAACCCGTTCCCCAAGTCGTGTTAAGTGAAGCCTTCAGGATGTGACAACGGGAGCATATACCCACCTAAATAAACTTTTCCAAAAATTTTCAAGGGGTAAGGGAAGAAACGGGCATAAGAGGCCTTGGAAATTTCAGCAACAGTAGGCTAGGACAGGCATCCATGTCTTCCTATGTTTAAACAAGAACAAGTAATTTCAAATATCCCCAAGGATGTGTAAAGCCAACCAGGTAAAATCAAATCGCTATTACATGATCATATAAACCTACAGTGCAAATATATATAAAAGCTTAAGACAACATCATACCAAGATCTTCTGCTTTCTTTAGCTTCTCGTTAATCATTTCCTGTATGCGTGGATCTGGAGTAGCTGCTGGCAAAGGTGCCAACTGTGGAGGATTTGTTAGTGGCTGAGGTAGAGATGCCCGGTCTTTGTTAAAAGCATCCAAAAGAAGCATAGACTGTCATTCAACAGTAACAAACCTTAATAACTCACATAAATAACATGATTATTAATTTAGCCATTGTTTGAGCCCCTTTCTTTTCCTTTCTCGTTTTTTTTTTTTTTGGGAGGGGGGTGTGCATTTTTGAATAGTTTATTGATGGGAAATATGGTTAAAGAATAAGAAAAAGTTTTGGATATGCATGTAATATTATTTTATTGAAGAATATGTAGTTGAAATGATGTCAAAACACTATTTAAGAATGCATTTTTTTTGAAAGAATGTGGCTCAAACAGAGCTCAGATAACATAAGCATATAACGAATCTTCAGCTGCATCATTTTACTGATAATTAGTTAGGAATAATTAAATGCCAAATAGCTAAAAAACCTGCATGTCGGCTCTTTTAACTCTTAGTTCTTCAACCTCTTCCAACGCACGAATCTTCATGTCTGTCTTGCCTTCGAGATCTATAAAAACAAATAATGTTCAGCAACATCAGTAATTCACTAACAGCAGGCACCTATAGCTCAATTAGATAAACATTAATTTAAAACAACAGATATACACATATGAACTTGAAAGAGACTTTCAGATGATTGCGCAAAGAAAGAGAAATGGTTGTACATAAAGAACTTGTATACCTTGAAACTGGAATATTATAACTCATACCATTTTTAGAGACTTGTATGTATAATTTTTGCTAATTTTTCCAAGATATCAACTTGCTAATTACATTGTCCTGGAAAACGATGAACATCAGTACCCTCCATTCCATTGTTACACAATTCCAACATAGTTATTCTAAATAAGAGCACTATTTCAAAAAGTTGATTTAAGTTTTCGACATTATACACGTAAAATTGATAATGCACTGCCAAAATATTTTCTCGTCGCAGAGTAACGTCTGGAGGACAAGTGCTGGACATGGTGGACCACAGCTCCAAGCCTCCAATAATAAATTAGAATAACTAATGTCAAATCTAAGAAGGAAACTAGAGTGAAAATCTATGAAAATGTTGAAATGTGCTAGTTAAGGTTTGTCTTTTTGGTGGTATAGTGCAGCCTTATGAATTTTATGAATGTAAGAAATAACTTGAGGATACATGCCGTCAAGTTTGATAATTTTAATTCCAAAGATGATTGTGGTTGATATGAACAAGTTGTTTCGTACCTAAGGTTAAGGCAAGACTTATTAGTAGTCTATTATTCCTTTCATTTCAACTAAAATGCAAGCATGTTATTTCTACGCAACAAAAGATATTCATTTCAATTCAATGTACCTATTATTTAAGCAAGGGTATGAGAAGTATGATTTCATAAGGTCAAAATGACATGATTTGTAAAGTGGCATCGCCTTGAATGGCGTGGCGTGGCGTGATTGATGACAAAACATGATATGCATTTTAATTTTTGGGTAACCAACATGAGTTTTAGGAAAAATGATTTTTCAACCATATGCTACAGAAGACGATAATACGCAATGAAGAGAAAGTCCACCAATTTTATTTAATTAAAATGAAAAACAATCAAATAACAATGAACCCTAATTCTAGCTTTTCAAGGAGAAGAAAAAATCCTAACTCAAAACTTCTAGATAAACACGAACTTCTTAAAAATGTATTCTAAATAAATAAAACTCCTAAACTAAACATGGTAAATGAATTATCTTAACAATAAATTTAATTTCCACTAGTAACATAAATGCCCATTTGATACCCAAAATGATAGAATATGAACCGAGGAACGGCTTATGATTTTTAATTGGAGACTCATTGTTGCATGAAGAAATGTTCTTATACATCCAATTCCAACACATTGACTGACTCAAAGTATTCGATTGCATCATTTTCTCCTAGTTAAGAGAAGATCCCCGCCTTCATTTTTCCACTTCTATGCCACTGGTGTTCAGCAATATTTGTCAATTGGAGTGCAAATTCTCAATTTGTGCACTCTTTTGTCAAGCTACTCACAATACCAAAAACATCTTACATCTAACATAAATGAATCATCAATGTCCATCGCTCCCTACTCTTCAAGTACATCCTTGTTGACTTCCATATTGAAAATTGGTTAAACATTATGATTCCCATCTAACTCAATATCCCACATTGGAATGAAGCAAAAAGATCCACATCGAATTCCATCTCAACCATGGTTGTTAAAATGGCGATCTGGATCCTAGCTACATAAGTTTCAACAATCCCAAAATGGAAAATAGATCAAAATCATACACCAAATTGTAATCATATTCAAATCCTACGATTCCAACAGTTCCATAATTCTACGTAAAATTGATCCAAAAAAATTTTTAAAATAAAGAAATAATAAAAATATTAAACTAGGCAATAGGAATCTTGATTGCAATAAATTTACACTTGGACTATGTTTCAACTTTAAGTTTCCAAATCAAAATATTTATTTTCAATAACAACTAATTTGAAATATCAGTTCTCAGCCATAAAGAAAAAAAATGATTTATCATCAATTTTCACAATAGTTCTTGAGTTAAGGCTTATAAGATATAATTTCTTCATATAATTTAAAATATAAAGTTTCAATGGATGAATTGACAAAAGTTTACCTAGATTTTCCTCCAAGTTCTCCATCTTCAATTTCATAGATTTGAGCTCTAATCATTTTAATTGTTCAGCATCAATTTTGTTGTGGATCATTTACAAAGTACTTAAAAACTCTTTGTTAACTTTTTATTGTATGTTTTAAGTTAGTTATGGACCCATAGTTTTTAATTTGTTGTTAGAATTTTTATTTCATTTTTATGCTCATTTTTAAGTAATATTTAGTAGAATTTTACAATTTAAGATCCGATCCATGGGTCGGATATGCAAGAACCATCCGTAGATGCAATCTAAAAATATGATTCTCACAACTATGATTTCTACACAATAAAATAAATGGACCTTACAGTTTGTCGTGCACCTCATGGACATTTACAACCAAATAAACAATCAAAACAATGTCCGTGATAGGTCTTGATCTGCTAAATAGAAAACAATGATAATTGGAGTGCTCTGCCAATTCTAGCTATGATGTGGAGATGAAGCTCAATACAAATCTTTTAGGTCTTCTCAATACCAATTTTGAGACATCGATATAGGCGAGAATTACAATGGCCCACCCATTTTTGAAATAAAGGTCAACAAGGATGTGTTGAAGTAGTAGAGGAAGATACCTTAGTAGAACACCTATGTTAGCAATAAGTATCTCTAGTAATGCGATTGTAAATAGTTTAACACACTAGTGACACAAAAGTTGGAATGCTAATTATGGAAAAAATCCTACATCACAAGATTTGAAAGTGAAGCTTCTCAAGTTTATATAAAATGATGCAATCAAATACTTTGAACCGATCTACCGTATTGAAATCGTATAAGAACACTTTCCCAAAACCAACATTTTCCAAAACTTATACTACTATTTTTTGCCAACATATATCGTATTGTTTAGGTTGTCAAATGAGCTCTTGTTCTATAGAAAATTACTTTTGTTGTCAAGATAATTAGTTTCAATGTTTAGTTTAGTAAGAAATTTATACATTAAGATTAGTTTTTCTAACGTTTGTGATTACCAAGAAGATTAAGCCCTTGTTGAATTCTCATTATTTTCAAAATAAATTTTCTCTCTTATTTTCAACCGCACATTCTTCAATAAACAATACATACGAATTCAAAACTTTTCCTTATTTTTTAACTACACGTTCTACATCAAAATACTATTCAAAAATACATTTTGTTGAGAAAATTATGCTTAAATAGGCTATAAGTTAAGGTTTTCTGTTTTCCTCTAAAAACTAAAAATATGATTTAGAGCCTGTTTGAGCCACATTATAATGAGAATGAGAAATAGAGTGTTATGGGCCCCACACCAGAGATGGAAATTCAAAAAATGGTGGCTTGATGTGATGGATAACAGTCATATTTTTCATTTTAATGAGGTAAAAATGTGGCTCAAACAGGGACTTATTGTTATTTGTTGTTTTTATTTATCAAATAAAATTGGTCAAGTTTCTTCCGATTGATTAATCTATATCAAGTATTAGGCGTAAATCAACAAGATTGAACGTGTTCCTTCTTCCCAGCACTTTTCAGCTGCATTAGATGTGCAATTTGATAAAAATGAGACGAGATTACTTTTATGTATCACAAGAAACAAAGGGATGGAATATGGGATCAAACAAGATGTCAGGAAAAAAGAGATGCATAAACTTTGATATGGTAACTCCGTAAACATAGCAATGGGTGAAGATGACCCAATGATATCAATTTAAATTGAAAAACCTAAGACTCAATGCCATATCCTTCCTCGAATGGAACTAGAATTACCTATCCCAAATGGGATGATGAGGCGATATCAAGGGCGTGGTTTTGTTGCCCCAGTTCAAGGAAGGGCGGGTATGGGGAATAAAGTTGCCCTGCCCCGCCACAAATGTCCCGTTAAAAATTTTGAATTTTGATCCAATTCGCCAATAACTACTTTTTCCTTTTTTCGTGTCGTAAACCCACCAAACCAACCTAAACCCAAAAATCTAATCTCTCATTTCACCACTCACCTTCGTCTCACCACAATAGACAACACCATTCCGAAAGTCCCTTTATTTTTTTATCAACCTCATTGACAAGCACCAATGGTACTCCTAACTAAATTTTAAGGTTTATTTTTTGTTTTACCTTTCCAAGAACATCCCTTTTGGTTAATTGTGTATAACAATAAAACTGTGTTGTTGGGATGGTTTTTTTTAGGTTTTAGGTTCTTCGAAGTGAAAATATATATTGCCCAACCCCTTCTTAAGCAAAGATAGAAGCACTTAAATCCTTAAGGGGCAGGGCACAAAGCATCCCAACTGTCCTTGACCCACCTTATTGCCATCTTTAAGGGGACCTAGAAAATGATTTTGAAATCAAAGATTCTGAACATTATGAAGCTCATAAATTCAATTGCTCAAAAGATATGATAGTCATGCTTATATTCATGTTGTGGATACTTATTGTCTTCATTAGTAAAGAATTTAACTCAAAGAATTGCATTCTAGGTAAGCATCGAGAACTCAATGTTCCTTAGTGTTGTTACTAGTTGTTGGCATCCAAAAAGGATTTTGAACATCAGGTCAAGCATGTGTGAACTTGTTAAGGACATGTTTTTAATCATATCCTATATATTTATGTTGCTAACTAATAATTATGGAGCAATTACCTTTATTATGTCTATTTTCAAGTATCTCTAGACGGTAGACGACTTGTAAGTTGTTTCGAGTTACATGTTTAAACGAGAATACAAATGTTAAATTCATAAAGCATAATGGCTCACCCCTCTCATTAACGAGAGAGCCTATGTTTGGCTTGTGTTCATGAAATGTTTCTATGCACTCAAGTGACTTTTAACTACACATTTCAAGAAAACAATAAATATTATCCGCTTATTCACCACTCATTTCAATTTATTTACAAATTAAAGCGTTTTCCCAAACAAGCTCTTATTTTTTGCATGATTACTGGAAATTTGAAGAATATGTAATTAAATCAGATGGTACAAAAGGTGATAAAACTGGCTGTAAAAATGGTTTCTCTTGACATACTTGTTTTCTAGCCTTGTTCAATTCGTGGCATCCCATTGGCAAAACTAAATAAGTCATAACAGCTTCTAAGTAGACTCTTTCATTTCATATTCCAAGGATAGAAACACTAACATACCATAAATTCCACTAGAAAGAATTAGATGTCTCACAGAATACTTACCAAATTGGTCAACTTCTTTCAATTTCTCTTTAATTTGTTTCGACAACTCAAGAATTTCTGGTGTCTGAATCCAAAAAAATTAGTTAAGTATATGGGAATAGAGAACAATGCAGAAGTGACAATAGTAGATGAAAAAATTAGAATCCGGTACTAAGAATCTGTCATTACTTGGGTAACTTGTGACACGGAGATAGCGATAGCAGCATTAGCATCTTCTTTATCAAGTCTCCTCAGGGCCCTTTCAATTTTCCGGTCACATTCAACAATCAGTCTATCTATGTTATCCTCCAAGTCCCTATCATAATTATCTAGACCTTTCGCTTTTGCTTCCTGGTATCTGGCAAAGTGTTAAAGCAACATATAGACACTTCAAATGACAAACTTGCAAGTCAGCAAACTGGATAAATAGAATGTAACATGTGTATATACCAGTGTTAACAAATATTTGCATACGCAACTACAGGCGATCAATGGGTTGGTGCAGTGGGAGTTTTAAAGCATAGATTTCTTGTTCAAATGAGGCATTCACAAAAACATTTCAAAAATCATACAGAAGAGAACGGTATAATTCCAGTTTCCCCTTTCATCAATAACAAGATATTCCTCGAATGAGGGATCACATTTCCAGGAAAAGAGCAGTTCTTTGAATTCTGTTTTGTCACTTAATCAGAACTTGATTTCAAATATTCATTTATAAAATAACTTCCAAAGGATAGCAGCTAATATTCTTGAAACTCAATACTTGTCATATTGATATGCTCTACAAATTCTTTTTATTTGATAGTGTTAACAAATGCTAGCTTTACAATACTATTATAACAATTTTACCGTTGCAAATCATTACTAGGTGAACATAATACACACACACACACACACACACCCATATGTATACATACATATGTCGACATGACATGAGCATGAAAGGGGTTCAAGAATCCATTTTCTTTTTATAAGGGCTAAAATCACCCGAAAACGTCCGGGTCGAATTATGGCTTTCAAATTAAGTTCCGAATTAGTGGATTCAACTGGTGATGAAGAAAGAGAATTCTTGGTTAAAAGGATTGATACATATATACGTATGTACATACACATGTATACACATGTATATATGTATACACACACAAAAAAAAAAATGTATATCATCGCCACATAGAGGATACTCTTTTCTTAGCTGCAACGAATGCACCTTTGTGCACTGTCCCATGTCCATTTTCTGCACCAGAACAAAAATAATAAACAAAATACACTTGCAAGCATCAATGAAATGAAACAGCAGTACATATATCAAATTAACCCAAAATCGTAAATAGAAACTACCAATTCTTTACGTATGATAGTTTTACACAAATTTCTGCATAGATATAGGAAAAAAAGTTCCTCGAGTGTAAAAATAAGCTGATTTCCCTATTTGGGGTTCGTTAAGCCTATTTCAAAATCTGAAAAATTAAAATAAATTACAGTCTACATATGCTACGTACACACGCGTATACTTACAGTAAGTTGGAAGAGGTCGTGAGGGCAGAGGCCAGAGAGGTAGAGGCGGCAGACGTCACGGTCGAAGTACTTCCGCGTCACCTCCAGTACGTCGCCGTTTCGATTGGCTCCCATCAACACGTCTAGCTGCTTCCTCAGCGAATCCATTGCTGCTTAAAGTTCTCTCTCTCTCTCTCTCTCTCTCTCTCTCTCTATTTTACCTTTCTCCTTCCCGTTAGGGTTTGGTTTGGTTGTGGTTGGGGAGAGTTTCCTGTATAAAGAAAGTGAATTTCATTTGGGCCCCTGAGATTTCGTTGAAATTACTTGTAGCTCCAATTTTCTTGTGTAATAATACAATGGGTCTACTATGATTTATTGGAATCTACTTTTCCTTTTTCTCTACATAATAATAATAATAACAATAATCAAGACAGATATGAAGTTGGCAAAAATAAATAACTAAGTTTTGAAATATAATAGTTTTATTAATTAAAGTTGAAAATAAATAAGTTACTCATTTTGATAATATGATGTGAATTAGTCTCTGATTGAGCCGCATTAAAATTTAATGCATTATTATCTTTCCAATTTTCAACTGTATATTTTTCAATAAAATAAATAATACAATTTAACTTCATTGGAATTATGACCTCATATCATTTAATTCCACGTTTCATTTAACACCACATTATCATCACATAAACTGATGTTACAATTCTAGTATGACTAAATAGCATTACTTAATAAAATAGTATTATACATATTCCAATAACTTTTCTTATTTTATAATCACATATTCGCCTAAAAGTCACTATTACAAAATACATTTTTCTAAAATTATATTTTAATGAAACCCATATAAGGGCTTAATTTCTTAAAAAAAAAAAAAAAACAAACGTGAATTGTTTTGTAAAATCCACAGATCTCATAGGTTTCAAGTTTTAAATATTCAAAAAATCAACATAAGTTACATTTGTGTCATTTTCTCTCTCTTAATTATATGTAAGCATATCAAGGTATATCTAACCTCTATTAGAAAGGGGAATAATATGGCACTATTGATTAAATAGTAAATGAATCCCATGTTACTGTACAAAATGCAGAATGACGTTGTTTTTTTTTTTTTTTTGGTCTTCCATCACGCATCACTTCTCTTCACGCAATCATCTGGCTTCCTCCATTTCTCAAAACAACCTCTCATGCTTATTTCCTTCATTCTCCACAATCGTGCAACTTCTCCTTTCTTCTATTCATTTCTTCTTCTCTTTTTTTCTATTTCGTTTTCCTTTAATTTGGTGGTTGACATTCTAGAAGTTCTAAACATCCATTTTTGTTTTCTTTTACAGAGGTTTTCCATCATAGAACAATCGAAAGAATTATTGATACAAGGTTTTTGGTAAGTAAATATAGATTTTTGCTATGAACTGAATGCATGTTGGCTAGATTTTACTGTGTGGTTCTAAATAGATTTTTTTAGAAGGTATTATTCCCAAAAGATTAAGAATTTTATTTTGTTTTACGAGGCAAGCAAAAGATGAAGTAGTTCTAATGGATCGCTTGGATTGGAAAAAGGCCCACGTCTTTAGCCATTCAAGTTGGTGAGTTTTGATTTTGAATTTTTAGTAATTTTGGTTTTTATTATTTTCATTTCTATTGTTGAAAGGTAAATAATAGTTTTAGTTCATTATTATCTCCTTAAGGTGGTTAGTCAAATAGGTGAAAAAATATGGTAAACTAAAAAAATAAATAACCAAATAGTTTTATAGTTTAAAGCTGAAGAAAGAAAGAAAAAAAAGTAATTGAAATCACTTGTTAGGATGCATGGGGGAAGCTTCTTTCTGCGAGGTAGATTGTCAATTTTTCACTTTATTTCATTACTTACATCATTCAAACGTTATAGTTGGTTTGGTGGAAGCTTGTCACTTCTAAAAACAATTGATTTTGATTCATCCATATTCTTGGAGCCAGTACTTCCTAATGCTATATGTTTTTTGTGATTGTATTCGTTTTAACTTTTGATCTTACTTTTGGTAAACAATATGTTATAGTTAAGATTTCATAGTAATTGAAAAAAAAATCTCCGAACTGTTTAGAGAGATGGGTCTCTCAGCACTGTTCAGAGAGCTGTACGGAGAGATTTTTTATTTTTTAAAATCAATATCATTATTTGATAAGTGCATTTCCACTTTTTTATATACAATTATGTTTAATTTATTTATATAAAATGCTTTAAAAATAATAATTATTAAGCCAATAAAAAATACACTAAAAAAAGTCTACAAATCAAATTTTTCAAAAAATTAGTAACAAAAAAGTAAACAAATGCATTTACCTATTTTTATTTCATCTAATTTAATAATTTAAACGAAAAATTACATGTGCTGTGTGGAGTCTTCGCACAATTTGTGCGAAGACTCCGCATTGTGCGGAGACTCAACACAAATCACACAATTTGCGCGGAGTCTCCGCACAAGTGAGGACTCTCTTTTTTCTTTTGAATCACGCAACTAATATTTGTTTAATTTGTTATTTATTAGTTAAAAATATGTATTAAATCTAATAAAAAAATATAACTACAAGAATAAGTTAAAAAAAAAAAAAAAACCCTCCCCAATATGTGCGAAGACTCTGCACAATCCACATAGATTGTGCGGACGGGGTCTCCGCACAGATTTTGCGGAATCGCACACTAATGTTTCTCTGCAATTTTTTTTAAAAAATTTAATCATGTAATTAGTTTGTTATATTATTAGTTAAAAATATGCATTAAATCTAATAAAAAAATATAATTACAACAGTATAATGCAAAAAAGCTCTCAAAATAATCATTACTAACAACAAATGAATCTAAAAAAAAAGACAAAAATAAAAAAAAAAAGTAAAACAAAGAATGATGCCAAAAAATTTGGCATTATTGATACACAAAAACTCTTGCAGTCACATGTTAAAATATGAATTTATTGTGTGGTGTTAAAATTTTTTTACATAATCATAATAAATCTTCTTATCACGCTAATAAAATTATAATATATTTTTTTTAAATAGCATAAAAAATCAATTTTATTTTTAACAAAAAAACACATTTAAAAATTAGCAATTTCATAACCACATTTTTTTAAAAAAATTTCAAAAATACAAAAAACGAAACAATATTGAATTACAAAAATCAATATCTGCCATATTAAAAACAATATGTGCAGTAAATGCGGTATGATACAAATATAGTATGATGCAAATACAGTATATTGCAAATACGGTATGCTACATATACGGTATGTTGTAAATATGATATAATGTAAATACAGTATAATGCAAATATGGTACTTGCATATACAGTAAGCCGTAAATACAGATTGCTGCAAATACGACAGTATACATAAATACGGTTGGCATCGTATTTGTAGCCTACTTACCATATTTACAACTTACTATATATGTTGCCACCTACCATATTTGTAGTTTATCGTATTTGTAGGCAACTTACTGTATTTATAGCTTATCGTATATGCTACCTAACATATTTATAGCTTACTGTATATGCAGCCTACCATATTTGCAACTTACCGTATATACTGATTTTTGTACTTACAAATACCGAGAATGCAGAACACTGTACATTCACTTACCAAATCGAATGTCAGAAAAAAATTCCAGATGTTTATTTTTTCAACATAAGAATAAAAAGGAATATTAAAATATATGAAACACAAAATATAAACGTATATGAATATACAAATCGATTTATAACTTTGTGCTCAATCTTCATTTTTCCAATATTGAATTAGAAATATAATCTTCACATTCAATTCAATCATATCAACACTATCAAAGAATACATGCAAAATAGTTTGTATATTTCTTATTTAAGCATGAAATAAACAAACATATTTTTTCTGAAAAACACAATGTTGTTGCAATTGTAAAAATAATTTGCAATTATTTTCTTATATCATGAAAATATTTCTAAATATTACTTAAAAAACTTTTCAAAAAACTAAAATTCATACGCTAATAAAAATACGATAAATACAAAATTCGTGCTACGCACGTGATAGTGACTAGTATATCAAGCGAAGAGTTGAAATTAATTTCTTGTCCATCTATTGTTAGGCTTATAGCATTACTTTGTATATTTTTTGAATTATACTTTACTAATTTGTATTGGTTGTGTAATCTTCAAATTATACTTTAACAATTTATGTTGAACAGTCTTCGTAGGGTGAAAATGGTACATTACGTGATATTTGATTTCTATTTTGTTGTTATTTTCGCACCAAAATGTTACACAATTTGTTATTTTAATAAAATTATAATTAGTTATATGTGAAAGTAAGAGGATTTTGTTACACACACAATTCCTTTATATTATTTTCATTTTCAATTTATTTTTTTGTTATATTGATATCACAATTTTTATTTGTTATACCATATTTTAATTGTAGTTAAGTTTCTCAATCTTTACTTATCATAAAAATTATTTTCTTACTTTTTTTATTGAATACTTATTTTCAGCATTCTATTAATTAGTACGTATTGTCTTTGAAATGAAGGAAAAATATTTTTAGCACCTCTAAAAAAAAAAAAAAAAAAAAAGAGGTGAAACATAGGTGATTTTATTTCATTTCAACGAATTTTTATACATAAAATTGTTATCAAATATAAATTGTATTAATTAATGAAAAGTTTAAAGATAAAAATGACATGAAAAATCGTTTGAGACAAAGTGTTATAATGAGCAAAGATTAAGAACATTAAATTCAATTAAAATGTAGTAAAATAAATATAAATTACAGTGTGAATATAATTACTCATTTTTTGTATTATAATTTGACATAAATTTTATAGTTGTGTGTGAAATATGTTGTCAGGGTTTATGTAGTGTTCTAATTTTTTTCTTTTATATGTAGGGGTGGCAAAAAAATTCATTAAACACTATATTCGTGGTGTCCCGCTTCGAATCGGACAAGGATTATTAGCCTAACCAGTTAAACGGTGCATGGACGAGGATGGGACAAGGGTCGTTGGACCAAAGCGGGTACAAAAAGTATGGTCCCCGTCTCGCTGCTTACCCGTTTAAAACTTATTTCAAATTTAAGTTTTTTATCAAACATTAAAAAAATAAAAAGAATTATCATCATTTCTAAAGGGAACATGGATTGTTTTAACAAATTGAAAAAAAAAAAAATTCACCAACTAAAGACATAAAAAATAATAAATAGATAAATAAAAACAAAAATAAAAATGAATTGGGAGGTA